AGGAGGAGGAGGAGGAGGATGTCGGGGACGAGGGGGAGGATGTCGAGGACAGGAGGAGGAGTATAATGTTGATGATGATGATGATGAGGAGGAGGAGGAGGAGAAGGAGGAGAAGGAGGAGGAGGAGGAGGAGGAGGAGGAGGATATCGAGGAGGAGGACTAGGAGGAGGAGAAAAAAAAAAAATCCAATCGAAGAAATCGATTGGATCGGATCTTGATTTTGAAATCAAGATCCAATGGATTCAATTTGTTTGATTTGATAATATTTATTTTATGGTTTTAATTATTATTATTATTATTTTTTTTTTTCTGGCTGCTTGATTGATTGATTGATTGATTGATTGCCCCTTATTGATTGATTGTGTGATGTAACTGCCTTTCGGGGCCTGTTGGCCGAGTTCATATCTTCATAACGCCCGACTGTTTGAACATTCGCATTCACTTTATATGCAGTCTCACACTCGCATCCGTTTCAGCGCTTTTTCTTGTACTGTCGTCAGCAGTGACTTGTGCAGTACTCACTCCGCCACCGTTGTGCCACGGTCGTCACCCTGCTCAGAGCGCGAATCGTCATCGTCTTCCTTGCACAAAGGTCAGTCTTTTCTTGGCCTTCGCGACATACAAAAAAATTGAAATGCAACTATAGAAGAAGAAGTCATTGTGTGAACAATACAAATAAACAAAACCTATGAGTATTCAAGGTTGGGAAGTGGGTGCCACATACGCCGGTCTACAGTACCAATATCTTCATATTCGGCCCCTACTTCCCAACCACAACGTCACAGCTATGAGTAATGTGGTACGGTAATACCAGAGAGAGAGAGAGAGAGAGAGAGAGAGAGAGAGTATATTGCGCAATTCGATACACGCACACACACACACACACACCGAACGATGCAGATATAAATAACCCCTCATTTCCACAAGGTTGGGAAGTGGGTGCCACATACGCCGGTTTACAGTACCGACATCTTCATATTTGGCCCCTACTTCCCAAACACAACGTCACAGCTATGAGTACTGTGGTATGGTAATACCAGAGAGGGAGAGAGAGAGAGAGAGAGAGACGCTAGGAGAGTATTCCCCTCATTGTTGTATGCACACACACACACACACAGACACACACACACACACACACACACACAAACACACACACACACACACTGAACGATGCTGATATAAAAAAACCCTGATTTCCTCAAGGTTGGGAAGTGGGTGCCACATACGTCGGTTCACGGCTACAACATCGTCATATTCGGCCCCTACTTCCCAAACACAACGTCACAGTTGTAGGTAATGTGGTACGGTAATACCAGAGAGAGAGAGAGCGAGAGCGAGAGAGAGCGAGAGCGAGAGAGAGAGAGAGAGAGAGAGAGAGAGAGAGAGAGAGAGAGAGTGAGAGAGAGAGAGATCCCTTTCACATCATCCTCGCGTCCCCACTTCGCCACGATTTTGCACCTCGCATCACGTTTTCTTTTCTCTCCCGTCATTCGCATCTCTCTCTCTCTCTCTTTCTCTCTCTCTCTCTCTCTCTATCTCTCTCTCTCTCTCTCTCTCTCTCTCTGTCATTCTATCTGTTTCTGCCATAACACATCATACTAATGGAAAGACCCATTGCCTGACAAAGTTGCCCGACCTTGCAATGACAAAATGATATCAATCATTTGTGAGATCTTTCAATATCTGTCTTTATGTCGTTCACTTTCCCAGATATCAAGAAAGTACACAAACCCGGCGACACCCGGTAGTGCATACGCGGGCAGAATGACTGCGAACCCGTGCGATGTGGTGAGAGATCAGGATAGAGCAAGAGCCATGATGGATGACTGTTGGGCGGACATTGTTCAGAGGCAACAGGAACACATAGATAAACTGACGGCCGAACTGCGTGAGCATAAAAATTTGGGTACACAGATGAAAGCGTTGATGGACCGTTATGAGAAGGAGGTTTCGCTATTGAAGGAAAATTGGGAACACGACATGTGCAGCGTGTTGTGGTTGTTTGACGGTTTGGATCGATATCACAAAGAGAGAAATAATATGAGGCAGAGGGTTGAAGAGTTAGAAGCGATCTTGAAACACGCAGAACTTGCGTTTCCGCCTGTTGATATTCGCATAAATAGACGGAGACGTCCGCCCCAAGAAATCCCCCGACATGCCCCTCATCATTGGGATGTGAAATGTTGTCCGGCATGAGAAAAATGTGTGTTGAGGCAAGCGTGGGCGTGTTACGATACCGAGGAAGACAGGTGCGGTAAGGAGTCTGCTTCGTCAAACACACACGTTGACCTTCTGTCTTTCTCAGAAGACTGCATCAATGATTGTGTAAAACTATCAACTACTACACTTGTCTGAAATATCGGGGCGACATGGACATTGAATGGCAGAGCAATTTGACTCCGCCCAATATAGGGGGTCTGCTTAACAGTTGCACAGATATCATGGACAGTCTCAAGCACACACGTGCGTCATTGTTGTATGGACACCGAGTGTTTTTGGA